GCTTTGTGGTCTGGCAGCCAGGAGGTAGTGGCATCCGCTCTTGTCTCACTATGTTGGGAAGCTCTGGGGCAACCCTTCTGCTTCACTCAGAGAGATGCCTGTGGCGTGAAGCTCCGCACAGCGCTGTGCCCACTGGGTCACGCTTCCTGGAGGCCTTCCGTTGGTCACTCCTCACGCACACGTGTCCCCAACTCTTCCCTCTCTGTGCTTAGGGCTTTCCTACATTATGGTGAAAAACCTATATATGTCTGCATCAAGTTTTAAATTAAATTTTGGGCTTCTTGGCATTGGAAAGATTTTCTTTCAATTGAATCCTGTTTTCTTCATAACTGTAAAATCCTTAAAGTTATTTTCTTTCTTTTTCTAACTGTGGTACTAGAATATTCCCCTTGATTTTGTGTTTCTTTGGTTGTTTCAATAGGCATAGATAGTAATGGGTCTCACTTTGCTAGTTTTAAATGCAATTGTTTTTCTCTAAGTTAAGAATTTTTCAAGTTTGCTTCCTTCCAAGTGTTAGTTTTGCAGTTAACTTCTTCAATTATGGATTTAAATTATATTTTTTGTAATTTTAATTTCCTTGCAATCTCTTATTTTCTTAATGTAGTACCTTTCATCTCGCTATCAAAGCTTTTCATTGTTGTGTTTTCTTCCTGGGCTTTATTAAAGATGCTTAAGAATCTTGTAAAAATATCTTTTGGTTCCCATAAAAAATCATTTTCAAGGGTATGATCCTCTCTAAGCATTCAGCCTGATACTCTCTTTCGCCTTTGCTATATTTTTCACTGGTCTCATGTAGAGTCTACTTCTCCATTTTCCATTTTACTTATCTCAGAACTAGGAGAAATCTATAAAAACTTGGTATTTTTAATTTAAAAAATTTTCTTTATTGATTTGAGAGAGAAGGGAGGTGGGGAGAGGAGAGAGAGAAAAACATCAATTTGTTGTTCCACTTATTTATGTTTTCATTGGTTGATTCTTGTATGTTCCCTGACCAGGGATCGAACCCACAACCTTGGTGTACCTGACCCGACCAGGCCAAAACTTGGAGAGGTTTGCGTTTCCAGCATACAGCACTGTTAAAAGCTACAACACTCAACATGCAATATTATCAGGAACCTTCCTGTATTTTCCTTACTCACTGATATTTTACCTTTGAGAAGAAAATACACTCCAGCTGCCCTAGCCAGTTTTGCTCAGTGGTTAGAGTGTCAGCCTGTGGACTGACGTGTCCCGGGTTCGATTCCAGCCAAGGGCATGTACCTTGGTTGCAGGCTGGATCCCTGGCACTGGTTGGGGTGCATGCGGGCGGCAACCAATAGATGTGTCTCTCTTACATCACTGTTTCTCTCTCTCTCTTCCACTCTGAAAAAGCAATGAGAAAAATATCCTCAGGTGAGGATCCCCCCCCAAATTCACTCCAGTATTCCCTTACAGCACCCCCTCCCTCCTGCCCATCTCTTATACGCACCCCCCGGCAGCAGCGCTTTCTACACTTGGTGCCGCCTGGGAGCTGTCCTCTGAGTAAGTATGTGGGATAAAGAAGAAGCAAAGAAGCAATACTCTGGTTCCTTAAAAAGTCAGTACCCCAAAGGAAAGGCACTTTTTCTGACTCTGTGAACAATAGGGTAAATAGCAGAGATCTTTTTTTTTCTTCTTTAGATTTTTTTTTTAACTTTGGGGAGGAAAAGGCTGTTGTGCTTTATGAATCGGCATGTGAATGCTCTTTACTGCTGTTCTCAACCCAGTTCCATCAGCCCCATGGTCTGTGGACTTTCCCTGTGAGCTGCTACCCCGAGTGACCTCTATTTCATTCTAGTTCTCTGGGTTGTAGGGAATGTTGACATCGTCAGTATTTTCTAAACTGTCTATTAAAAGACTGAAATAACCTTATGTAAGGGTCCTGACTTGGAGACATTTACATATTTTAAAATTACAATTTGGTTATTGAGGAAACATGTAAAGGCATAAAGAGAACCCGGGAGAACTGTTTTGATGCTAAATTTCCTAACCTTTTTATAAGGTCATATGTAGATAGATAGACAGACAGATGGACAGCTTTTTATGAAACCCTAGGGTATTATATCTTAGCTGATTCATATTAGTGTAGAAGAAACATCAGACTGGAGTCAGGCTAGTGAAGTCCAGTTCAGGATCTGTTACTGTTTAGCTATCTACAGTGATTCACATTAATTTTAAAAGTCAAAGAAAAATCTAAAAAGTAAAATTAATCAAGTAATAATCAATTAATCAAGTAAAACAACTATAATATTTTAAATAAGCCAGTAAACCTCTTCCTCAGTTTTCTTTTTAAATCTAAGAAATTAGGTGGAAACTATAATATTTATAAATTGCTTTGTACATGTTTAATTTCATGGCATTGTAAAACCAAGCCAATGTATAAATGATTGAGACTTGGTGACTATAATGAGTTCACAAAGAAGCAAGTGCTGTGTTAAAATTTCTAACCTAATCCAATTTGAATTCTTTCTACATGCATTGATTTTCCGTTTTGATTTTTAACAAACTGTACTTTATAGGTATTGATGCTTCTATTCTATTTTTGGGAAAAGCATTTTTACTTACAGAACATTTTGCAATCAGCAACATTGATTGAAAATAGTGTGTTTCTGGTAAAGCATTTTTCTACCATAGGTGGCTGACACTGATGGATCTTTTCCAATCCATATTTCAGTGAGAGTGTCTCAACTTAGTTACAATTTTCCAGACTTAAAAGAGAACAAAAGGACCAAAACCTTATAATTTTGAGGTATATTCAGGGAAAAAGAACTTTACTTGACCTTGGTGGGGGTGGTGAGTGTTCGGGAATGACGCACTCACTGTTCACTCTGAGGGCGATGGACTTCTTTCTGTGGTCTCTCTAGGACTTCACAGAGAAAGAAAGTTATCAACCTCATATCCTTTGAATAGTCATTTTTCTATTCAATTCAGTTCATCATTTTGAACCTGGTTATTTTACACAGAGTATTTCATTTAAATCTCACAACAGTCTCTGAAAAGTAGGTTTTACTATACTTAATTTATAGATGAGTAGATTAAGGCTGAGATAGGGTACACAAATTGCCTGACATCATATAACTAATTAGTGGTGAGTTAAGATTTTCTCTTTAATTTCTGACTAAAGTTTATGCTGATAAACGCCATGTTAAGTGTATCGGTTAGGATTCAGTTCTTGTGCACGTAACAGTGACCTGACCACAACCGCATTATCAAATAGAGCTTTATTTATGGCACAGAGCAAGCATGCACTCCTGATGCAGATGCCTGAAGGAACCCCAAGAACCCGACTCCTCCTGGGCCCTCTTCTTCCATTCTCGGCGCGTGACTTTCATCCTCCTGGTTGCCAGATGGCTGCTCTGCCTTCTGGTATCGGGTGTGCATTCCAAGCAAGACCAAAAGGATAAGCAAAGGAGGAAAAGACACCTCTTCTCTGAATTTAATCTTTTTTTCTTAATCAGAAAAATGATAACTTACCCGGAAGTCTTTCATAATATAAATCCATTTATATCTCATTGGGCAAATCTACACATATGGTTATTCCAAGCTTCAAGGGAGTTGAAGAGTCATTTAAAAAATTAAATTTATTGAGGTATAATTTACATACAATAAAACTTATACATTTTATCTATATAGATCTATGACCTTTGGCAAATGCATATACCTGTATAATTACTACCACAGACAAGATACAGAACATTTCTGTCTTGAAGAGGCAACATTAACTGAGCACTTTGCCAACTTGAACAAGACTGAGGTTTAGTTTTAAAAGGCAGAAAGAGTCGAATAATACTAGGTAGGCGATAAACAACATTGTGATACTAAGGTTAAAAGTTGATGTACTTAAATGATGGTTTGGAAAAGCAAAATTGCAAAACAAGGAATACCCATGGGTGGGAGAGGACTTCAGTTATAAGTTAATCTTAAACATGAACTGGACAAATCTCTCAGATGTATTTGTGTCTCAATTTTCAAATATAAAAAAAAAACAAAACACATTTTAAAAAGGTCTTGAATGTGTAAAAAATTGTGGTTTAGATCAAACGAGGTCATTTATGTGAAAGCACATTGAGATCTGTAAAGTTCCATTCAATATAAAGAATTGTGTTTTTTTCATGCTTAGAGGTGTTTCCTTTTAAAAGTGATGATGAACTTGACTTGCCTGAAATATTACAATTGTGAAATTCAAATATAGTTGTAAATGTACTAACTCTTTAACCTATCAATGGCCTATAAATCAAGGCAATATGCAGTTCTAGGCAGAGGCAATTTTTACATTTATATTCTCATCAGTTCTCTTTCAAACTATATCTTTTTCAATTGATTAAAAATAGCACTAAATGTATAGTTTCCTGAAACTATCAGAACATATGTACATTAATGGCTAATAACTTCTTATATGATTTCCATGTTATTACATATTTTACTAAATAAGTATTGACTATTTATTCACTGTGAAATATAAATTTTATTTTGAGAAATTGAACTTTTTATAAAATAAAGTAATGCTGAACTTTTGGAGTATGTATGAAGAACACTTTTTTATTTGTTCTCTTTTTTGAAAAGAAAACACTCTGTTGAAATTCACTCGGAATCAGTTTCAAAAAGTTAAAAATCAAAACCTATTGTGAGATTTTGAGAACAATCCCTAGAACTCGAGCCCTTGATGAAATCAAATCATTTTTATTATTTATTACTCCCAGAGTTTTGTCAGAACACTACTCTGAATTCAAATATCTTGCTAAAATGTGGCTTTTTCCTGTAGACTTTTATTTTAACCAGTGTGAAGTAATACTAATCTTTTTTTGTAATTATAGCTTATCTGTAGCTGAACATTATATTTGTGAAGCTATACTAGTCTTTATTGAAAGTAATGCATCTCATAATCCAGGATACTAATTTCTTCTGTCCAATTACTTTTTCATTAAAAACTATTTATTATTATTTTACATTAAACTCTGTGTTTTTGTTAATAAAATTATCAGGATGGATTCTGCACTGGCTTTGTTGGTTCTTGGGGAGGCTGCCAAATTAAACATGGCCTGCTTGAAAGCTTTAATGGACCTAATGAGAGATTTTCTTTTAAGCATTTTGTCTGACCAGAATCAGGTAATAGTATATTTGTTAATTTTGGTATGCAAAAGGATCTGAATAGAAAAATTTTTGTGTGTGCTATTTAAATTGTATACCATATTAGTGTTTAAAATGAGCACAACTTTGTAATAATAATTTTAAGTAAATATAAAAGTAAATGCTTATTTACTATATATCCTAGTATGGGTTGATTGACAGATAGATAGAGATAGAGCTATAGAAATAGATTATATATATTCACACGCACACATACACCCCTCCCCCCCCCGAGAGGGACTTTAAATTTTATTAACAAACTTGAAATCATATAGTTATATATGGTTTAGTTTCCTCTTTTAAAAGATTTTTATTGTTATTGTTTTATTAAAATTTACATTTTACTGGGGATGAGATAATTTAATCATTTATTGTTAAACATTTTGTTTCTAATTATTCACAGTTAATTACAAATAATGTTAAACTGAGATTCTCATACATAAAATCTTTATTTGTATTGATGACTTTCTTTAGAATAGATTAATAAATTACACTTGTACATTCTTAGAAGATATGTCCAAATTCCTTTCTACAAGATGTAAGTTTCTTGTCTATGAAAAATGTGTAAAAGTGTAACACTTTTTTTTTTCCTGATATGACTCATTTAATTTTCTTCCTGACCAAGGTCAGATTCATGCATCTTAAGTTACCTTAAGATTTGATAAGCACACTCCAGAGAGTCCTGTACACACAGGAACAAAAGCTAGTGTGGAGTTTTACATTAAAAATATTTTAAAATATGATATGGAAAATAGTATGTCATTGGATTAATTTGCATTCTTTTGATAACTAAGGAAATTGCTCCATATACTTTTTAGCTGTGTGAATCTTACCTTCTTTGAGCTAGGTTTATGCAAACTATCTATGTAAAATCTGTTTCTTATGGAGTACATTTTAGAAATATTAGTAAATTCTTTTAACAACTCTATAAAACTTGAAGATATTTCTTATAAGTACAGTATATTGTTCTTGTTATGACAGAATATGCTTGGAATATCTAATAGCTATTTTATTATTTTAGAAAGAAAACTGCACCATTGATGATTTTTCGTGGGCCTGGGTTGTAGTCTACATGTATATAACAATTCTTACAGAAATCTGCTTGTATGCAGCCATTTCTAATTTGCGAAAAACTGCTTTTATTGGTTTCTGTGACTGTAAAAGTTCAAAGGAGGATATTTTACCCCTGGACAAATCAAAACAACAGCCAGAGCTGACGGAAACAAGTATTTTAGGTCTTTTGAACTATTTCTTTTCAAAAATATCAGATAATTGTAAGTAAATTACTTTTCAACTTGATAAGAAATATTTTTAAAATGTCCTTGTCTACATTTAGTAATAAGCCTTTCACAAAAAGTTAACATTTAAAAGTTGGAAATAATTTTAAATTCAGGAGAGCTTTCTACAAATTTAGGAATGATATTGATTTATGATTCAAATTATATTCCTTGAAAACAAAAATTGACCTGGGGAAACTCATGAACTGTATATGTTTGTTTTATTCTTTTTCACATAAGGACTTCTCATCTCCCTTCTCTATTTTCTCTAGGTATCTACTGTTTCTCTTGTTCTTTGCCCACACAGAAAATTTCCCTTTAGTATCTCAAATAATTTAGTACATTCTTCACATATGGCATCTCATACTCCATCAAAATATACCTGTCTCCAGTCTCAAGACTAAAGGTTGTCTTGCTACTGTTGTTTATGGGGGCTACAAGAATAAAATACTTTAAAAAATGTTTTTATTGATTTTAGAGAGAGAGAAAGGGAGAGGGAGAGAGATAGAAACATGCGAGAGGAAAGGGGATCGAGCCCCAACCTGGGCATGTGCCTGACCAGAAATCGAACTGGTGACCTCTTGGTTCATAAATCGATGCTCCACTGAGACACACCGGCTGGGCTAAAATGTTTTTATTTTTAAAATAGTACTACAGGGACAATATACATTCAAAAGTGTCCTTTTAGGTTCACTAAAACTTTTCTTTATGAATATGATTGCAGTAGATGTTTTTATGGTCTGTTCTGTACATGATTCTCATTCCCATTAAATTATGAGATAATTAAGACTGGAGAATCATGTCTGAATTGTGTTTGTATTTAACCCAGCATTTAGCATAATACTTGGCACGTAGTAGGTGGTCAATTAATCATAGTGGATTTATTATGTAATTAAACAAATCACTGAATTTAAAATATAATTGCAAGATTTTGAAGGTATCAAAGGAAGCAAGATACTGTCTTTTCTCAGGACCATACTGTTTGAATATAGCTTTAATAAGACCTTAGTAGCAGATATTAATTTTACTCTCAAAAACTTGCTCACTACTTTTAAGTTACTTTCAGAATACTTTTGGTTTAATCAGTGGGTTGGAACCTATCATTTCTGAGTGCAATTTGCTGGGCCTTTTCCCACTTCTGTAGTCTCTGGTGCACAAATTTCTCCCATGTTTATAGTATTGATAAAGTAAACAGGTATTCACTTATTTTACTGCCCACACTCTTAAGCATTGAGAATAGTCATAAATCTTCCTGACATATGACTATGATTTTTGAACTGCCACTAAACAGATTCATCTACAAATTTTAGATCTTCAACTTTTTTTGGTAATTTTAGGACATTTTTAGGCTGCAAGTCTCAGAAGACTCAAATCATAATGACTTTTATGTTAAGGAAATTGTATGATCTCACATAAGAATTCTAGGTAAATTAACACAATATTGGATTGACAAATCAAGCTCACATACATCAGAGATCTTACCTATTACTAAGATTTTTTAAAAAATATATATATCTTTATTGATTTCAGAGAGAGGACAGGAGAGAGAGAGAGAGAGAAACATCAATGATGAGAGAGTCATTGATCAAGCCCGCAACCCAGGCATGTGCCCTGACCGGGAATCGAACCCCGATTGCCTGGATCCTAGGTCGATGCTCAGCCGCTGAGCCACGCCCGGCTGGGCTAAGACTTAATAATAATTTAAAGGATATAGGCAACCAAGAGGCTTAGACAGAGCACTGAGAGATGATGATGAACATAAAAGAAAGCCCCTCTCCTTAGGTTCTTTGTTTTCACATTAGACATGATCATTCTGGTTCAGAATTATAGATCAAGTATTTAAGTTAAGTTGAGTGAGTTACTACCTCACCCAGCAGGGTAAACATTTAAGATATTAAATATCTCTGTTTTATTCTTCAGGAGAGTTGTATATGTTACATAAATTTCTCCAGGGTGCCTTGCATCATCAATCTATAGATTTCAGTTTTATTTATAGTAATTCTTTAGCCTGGGCTATCCTATCCTGGGCACTCTGTAGATAAAGTCTTTTCCTTCTAGTAAGTATCATTAGTCTTTTTCCATGAAGATCCTATTGACAAGAGGTTACACTAGGCCATGTCTTTTTTCATTCTCCGGAGCATTCTTCCCGATGAAGTGAGTGAATGGATCACAGGCCATATGCTCAACTTATGCCTCTTCATAAGAGATACAGGGTTTCAGGGTTGGTTAATTCAGTGGCTCAACATTATTGAGGACCCAGGTTCCTTCCATCTTTCTGCATTACCCTCTTTGGGTAGTAGCTGTTGTTCTTAGACTATTTCTCTCATGGTGGCAAGATGGTTATAGTACAAAAAAGTGGATAAAAGGGTAGGTTTTTTAAACTAATGCCTCTTGTTTTAATAGCAGCTATCTTGAGTATATAATTCATATACCATAAATTCATCAATTTAAAATACAAAAATTGCTGTTTTTTATGTATCTACATAGTTGTGCAACAATTACAACTATCTAATTTTAGAACACTTTCATCACCCACAAACCCCATTTTCATTGTATAAGTTTTGTACTTCTTTTATTAAATTGACACCTAAGTACTTTATTCTTTTTGATGCTATTTTAAAGGGAATTGCTTTATGAATTTTATTTTTCAATTGTTCATTTCTGATTGCTCGTATCTAGGAATACAATAGATTTTTGTATATTGATCTTGTATCTAGCAACCTGGCTGAACTTATTTATTAGTTCTAATAGAATTTTTGTGAATACACTGGAATTTTCTATATGTAAGATCATGACATCTGTGAATAGAGGTAGTAGTACTTCTTTCTTTCCAATTTGTATACTTTTTATTTCTTTCATAATTGTCTTTACTAGAACCTTTAGTAAAAGGTGAAAAGAAGTATGAAAGCAGACATCTGATCTTAGAGGAAAGCATTTGGTTTTTCACCATTAAGTAAGATGCTAGTTGTGGGTTTTTAATTGATGGCTTTTATCTGTGTGAGGAAATTCTCCTCTATTACTAGTTTTCTGAGTCTTTTGATCAAGAAAGGGTATTGACTTTTGTCAGATACTTTTTTTTCTGTATCTCTTGACATGATCATGTGATTTTTGTTCTTCATTCTGTTAATTTAGTGTATAACACTAACTGACTTTAAGATTTAAGCAAATTTTCATTTTTCAACTCCAGAATTTTTATTTCGCCTCTCATTTTATTGGCCACATAATATCACACCCCCACTAGCAGTGGCAATGGAGCTGCTGTGATTGGTTTAGACAATTCCAGATGTATCCCCTTGGCTCTCCTGAAATTCATAACCACTCAATAACTGAACAAGATTCTAATTATTTTATCAAAAATGGAGAAAGAAGGGATAATTTATGGATAGGCAACCAAATTAAGTCAAAGGGCTTAAAATAGTCATTATTAGAAACTATATTATTTTTAAACTTCACATCTTAAGTAGGTATAATTAGATACATTTGGTGCTCCTAAATTGCCAGGATATTGGTAATACTCTGTGCAATATAAAAATTATAATCAGTACTATCAGTACTATTAGTACCATGGTTTGATAGATATGGAATTGGACTTTCAGAAGATACAGCTTTATGATTTACTGAGCATTACTTGGATTATTTACATCAGAAAATATTGTAGCTAATTTATAAGTCTATGCTTATTTACTGGATAGCAGTTTTTAAAAATGCAATTACTAGAAATTTTAAACCAGTCAGATGAGTACCTGATGACTCCTGGCTTTATGTTAGTTATAAAATTCCAAAAATTAACTGTAGAAAAAGTTACTAAATGTTTTTTTACAGTAATCATCTTTTTACTTGCTCCAGGATAAATGATATTATTTCTCAGTGCTTAATGTAGATATATTTGGAAATTTATCTTTGATATGTTCTCAGGTTTCTAACTCTGGGTTTCATCTACGTCTTTTAGAAAACACACTTGTATTTTAAAACTGAAGAATTCAGAAATCATTAATACAAAGATTTGTGGAAAGTATGGATTATCAGTAAATTACCTTTTGATAATTATCTATTTGACCTTTTTAAAGTTAGTTAATTACCACACATTAAAACCATATATAAGTTTATAAAATAATTTCCACATGAATTAAAACCTTTAAAATAACCAGAAGAAAATATAGGACAGCACCTTTATGACTTTCAAGCAGAAAAGAGTTTCATTAACAAAACAGAAAGATCATAAATCAAAAAAGACGTGATTAGAAGATTTAACTACACAAAAATGTGCAATATCTATGCAGAAAAAAATGATAAAAAGTTAAAATACAAGTGAAAATTGGGAAATATTATACATATAAACATCTATAAAACAGAGATAATAGTAATAAAAAGAAGTATCACTTGTCATTACTATTGCCATCCTCAGGTTCAGTGTGGTTTCAGAACTAGTTAGATGGCCCTAATCGAGTGAAGACTAAATCTTCTCTTTGGGTATAGTTACTTCTTTACTGCACACCTTCCAAGCTCGAGCAGTCATCACACTGCTTCTCGTTTACTGCAAAGGGCTAAAAGTTTCCGTTTCTCTTATACTACCCAGAACCCACTTTACACCATGAAGCCGAGTGGGTCAGTTCCCTTTCTTATTTAAAATGCTCTGTTAACTTTTCATTACACCCATAATAAAATCCAAACTCCTATCTGATCCTAGTGTGCTTCTGCAAAGAGCATGCCATGAACCCGTCCCTGCCAGGTGTCTTGTACTCTATCATTCTGTTCTTTCCTCTGCTTTTCTAAACTATCACAATATTCCAGGTCCAAAGACTGCATTTTCCATCCCCTATGCTGGGAACAGTTTCCCCCAGTTCCTTGAATGGTTAACGTTTATACATCAGATCTTAGCTTGAATATCCTCATGAAGGTCTTTCTCCTCTGTCTATAGTAAATTTCTTCTCTTAGTCCTTGGTCATATTACTATCTTCTATTATTTTTGTAACACTCATTTGTTCACTTCCTTAGCTATCTTTCTGCACTAGAATTGTGTTCTGAGACCAGTAACATTGTCTTTTTCTTTGGTGCATAGAACAGTGGTTGGCACATAGCATTGAGTCAGTAAGTACTTGTTAAATGCCTGGCTTGCTGTCTGGCTCTTGTTCGTTGGTTTCTTGGCATTGACCTAGTTCCTTCCATTCTACATGGCATTTCATAAAGACAATGTTTTCAAGTTGCCTTTCACTGATACATTTGCTTCTATGGTGTCAAATTAGATTTATCAAAATTGTAAAGGCTGTATGTACTTATATATACTCATTCCTATAAATAAAATATTCATATTTATAATCACTGAATATGTAAAATCTAAATATCTAGACTGGAAACTAAAGGATTCCAAGGATTTCAAACACTAAAATAGAGCTACAACAAAAGGATCATGATATTGGTTTTCACACATGGCCATTTCTTAATAAATTTTCAAGATTTGTTAAGAATTACATTTTGGCTCAGCTTTGTTATGTCCTAGAATACTGCCTGCTTAGCTGTAAAGGGATACATTTTCTCTCAGTATATTTAAAGTGACATTTTTGATAGCTGCCACAGGGTCACTCAAAGCAGAACAGAAGAGTGCCTTATGCTACAGCTTGGTCCCTGGATGAGGAGTTTCATAGCAGGCACGTTTCTTGGAAAATGTCTAGATGCGCATATTAGAATGCATTCTACCTTTTATGACAGCCGTAACACATCCCATCTGTTTTCAGAAGGTTTTTTTTTCCTTCGTTAACTGTCAGTCAAATGGATGTAATAGATTCTGCCTACAAATATTATTCATAAACAGTACTTTACTGTAGTTTAAATCAACAGGTGCAAAGCTCACTTACATGCATTTACCATGGACGCGGACAACAGTGTGGTGAAGGCCAAGGGAGGGAGAGGGGAGGAGGGGGAGGCGAGCAAAGGGGGGAGGGGAATGAGGGAAATTTGCAATAATGTCAACATTAAAAATTTTTAATAGCCTGGCCAGGCGTGGCTCAGCGGTTGAGCGTCGACCTAGGATCCAGGCGATCGGGGTTTGATTTCCGGTCAGGGCACATGCCCGGGTTGTGGGCTCCATCCCCTGTCGGGGGCGTGCAGGAGGCAGCCGATCAATGACTCATCATTGATGTTTCTATCTCTCTCTCTCTCTCCCTCTCCTTTCCTCTCTCTGAAAACAATAGAAATATATTTTAAAAAATGAATTAATTAAAAAATAAAAATTTTTAATAAAATCAAATCGATGGCATCTTTAAAGTTTTTTGAGTTCCTTCCCATATAAGCTCTTCTACGTGATTGCATTTCTGCAAGAGATTTCATTATCATTTCAGTTTCCTGAGCTTAAAAATGTATTGTTCCTTTTCACTTCCTTCCTTCCTTTTCCACCACAGCTAGAAGCCTTCGCAGATCTTCACGATGTCTTAGGTTTGTCCTATACTCTTCAGTCTCCTGCTGCTTGTCACAGAAAAGAGCTAAGTTGCCCCATAAAACTCCCATATTGGTTTCCCAGCTTATTGCTTGAATAGGTATAACGTTTCATTGAGCAAATATAACTCCTTTGCTCAAACATCTACCATTTAATCTGACCCCGTTTATTTTTAGTTGTTTTACCCCATCCATTGCTAGCATGAACTCTCCGCCTCAGCTCAATTTGAGACCCTCACTGTCTTCCTCTCCCTTCTCCCTTCTCTTGGCTGCCTCTCTGCTGGGAGCCAGCAGGCATGAGTGAGCACGGTTCCTGCTGGTCCCTGAGCAGATGAAACCACCTCCAGGACTGTGGCTGAGCAGGGCTGGCACCTGGTTATGGGACTGTTTCTGGGCCTGCAGATCTCGGGCCTGTTACCAGGAGTGCAAGTGGATTTGTCTCCTCCCAGGTTGCTGAGCATGCTCCCACCAAGTCCGTGGGTGGGTTCTCCAGAGGTGGGTTCCTGGGTAGACAGGACTGCCTCTGGACTATGGTAGACTGAGGCCGGAGCCAGGGCACAATGCTGCTTCAGTGTCCACACAGGTTCACACTCAGTTGGCCTCTTACCAAGGGCACCAGGTGTGGGTCTTCCTGGGTCCTTTGGTGGACAGAGCTGGTTACAGGACTGTGGACAAGCTGGGCTGGAGTTGAGTTCAGAGGGAGACACGGGTTCTTCCAGGTCCACAGCTGGGACTGCATCACTGGCGTCAGGCCTGATACTTGGGTTCAGACCTGCCTTATCAAAGTGGCCCTCCTCAGTCTTAGGTTCCACTGGGGTTTCCGAACCTCTTGTCTGGATCCCAAGGTTCCCCCAAAGGCCTTTTTCCCCCCTTTTTTCCCAATACACCTTCATTAATCTCAGGGAGAGGAAGGGAAAAGGAGAGAGAGGGAGAGAAACATCGATGATGAGAGAGTCATTGATCCGCTGCTTCCTGCACGCCCCCGACTGGGGATCAAGCCCACAACCCGGGCATGTGCCCTGACCGGGAATCGAACCTCGATCTCCTGGATCCTAGGTCAATGCTCAACCGCTGAGCCACGCCCGGCCGGACCCAAAGGCACTTTTGTTCATGGGTAGCTGCCAAACTATGTTTCTGTGAGGGGATGAGGACCAGGGACTTTCTAGTCCACCTTCTTGCTGACATCACCCCCTATATATAACTTCAAATATGGCAATATACTAGTTTTAACTAGTAAAGATTTTATGAGGGAAAATTATATTTTTAAAAGAATTGGCCACCGCCCCAAATCAAGCCTCCTTCCAGCACCATTTCTCCCCCTTTAGCCTGTTCCACCCCCCACCCCCTCCCTCTGGTAATCACCCTGCCTATGAGTTTGTGGGTTCTTTTGCTTACTCGCTTCCCCTTTTTCACCCAGCCCTCCAAATCCCCTCCCCTCTGACAGCTGTCAGTCTGTCCTCTGTATCTATGAGCCTGTTTTTATTTTGTTTAATTTGTTCATTCAGTTCCACATGTATGCAATATACAGACGATGCAGTGTAGAATTGTACACTTGAAACCTACTTAATTTTGTTAACCCATGTCATTGCAATAAATTCAAATTAAAAAAAAGGATTTGGCTGCTTAACTGCAGCCTCATATTTGTAGCTTATACTTTGTCTTCTAAAGCATCAACAACAGAAAGGGTGGAAGTTGTCTAAGTTTGTGTGCATACTTTCTCTTCTGCCATCTCTTTCTACCTTCTAGTCTCTTCCTTTCTTATGAACGGAATAGAAGGTGGGGATTGGAAAGAAAAGTCCTTGTCTGAGTTGCGGAGGCCGCGCTGCATGGGCTACGATGAGACCAGCCCTCGCCTGGCTCCATCCCTCAGCAGCTGCGCGGTGCTAGGAGCTTTTGAACCAACCTGAAGCTCACACGTCCCCTTCTGTTTTTCTAAGTATGATACAGCTACGTGGCAGGATTGTAGTGCGGACTAGAATGAGGGTCCTAGTAAGTACTCCCAACTATTCTAGTTACAGTAATGGTGATGATTATTATTAGCCCGGATTATAGAATTCTAGGTTGAATTAGGAAAAGTTGAGGATTGTGACTTTTCAGATTGTGACTTTTCAAAAATGGCATTGATGAGTTTCAGTATCACACAGGCTGTCAGCAGGACTGGTGCTGAAAGGACAATACAGATTTATTCTGAACCACCTCTTCCTCTTGCTCTCTTCCCGATTCAGTTATACTCGGTACAATTGTTAATTAAGCTCATATCCCCTTTAAGACTGTATTATTTCATTCTCCAAATTTATTTATCCCTTCACGCCTTAAATTAGAATGTTCTTTTCCTGAGTAGTTTTGCATAGCAAAATACCATCTGAGTAAGAAATAATTCAGATTAAGAGTAAAGAGAAACTTCTTTATTGTTTCTGTAAGGGAAATGCATGTTTTAAAAGTAGAACTGGATAATTTGTATATGTTTTAAAAGTGTCTTAGACTTCTCTCCTCTGGATTCATTACACTCCCTTATTTCAATTGACTTATGTATCTGTTATTGGCAAAAAAAATCTTACAGTTTAAAATTCCATCAGCAATTTTTGTTTGCTTGTCACATTGTTTTCAAAGTTTCCTTCTTGCTTCAAATGCTATGTTTCATATATTTAGGTTATCCTTATAATAGCCAGTGGTTTTTCTCCTGTTTCTCTGATTTATTATAAAAACCCACCCTGGTGGTCTAAATATTCATTTTGCCTTGAACAAATTCCTCTTTACTTGAATTTCAAAAATTTGTTTTGAGCACCTAGTTCACAATTTACCTGTTTAACTCTTAAATCTATGAGGTATGATATTAGGTGCAGTTCATCTTCTCCTATGGTTAGCAATTTGAAAATGATCTGTGATCTTTTAAAATTAAAGAAGTGAAAGCAGAGAAGAGTAAAAAAGCACAGAATTGCAGACTTTAAAACAGTAAAATCCATGCCCTTTTTTGGTATTAGTAAGATGAAAAAAAAATTCTTCCCAAAGAATATTTCTTTTTAAACAGGTGATCAAGTGATATGGACCGGATACTATGGCTTAGTGTATAACCTGGTGAAAATGTCATGGGAACTTCGGAGCGATGAGGAACAGGATGGACTTAGAAACCTAATATGGCAAACATTACAGAAAATAAAGGATTATGAAAAAGATGAGTGGATCAGTAATGCAGCATTTATAGCTCAGGTAAGAACACACTGGGCAATAAATTGGAAGTTCTATCATCTGGAAGCATTTATCCTTTCTGGGAAGAAAGGGATGTCCACATTCAGTAAGTATCAGGGACACAGTTGAGAACATGATTTTTAAATTTTAGTGCTGACCTATTTTTAGTTAGAGATGGGGGGCAGGCAATCTCCTGATTAAATAGCCTGAAGAGAGGAGTTGATTTGGGGGAAGAGCAATTGCCATGCTGTGGGCTTGTGCCTCTGAGAAGCTTTTACAAGCATGCCGACCACGAGTCCCACTGCAAAGGTTAACGTGGGCTGCGCCTCATTTTCCAGCTTCCTCATTAGTAGTGAATTAATTCACTCTCAAAAGAGTTTCCATTTGGATAATAAATTATTTACTTTTCTTGTTTATATGTATGTGTTTTTCTTTCCAGCATTAAACAATATAAATTGTTAATCTAGACTCACTGACACTAATGTCATTTTTTTTAAAGCTAAAAATGTATTGTACAAGTTCTTGGTTTCTCTAGTTCTATTTGAATGACATCAAATAGAAAATCATGAAATAAGCTATCTATTTTTTATAAAATACAAATATGATTTTCTAGTGATGCTTTATCCATATGGTATCCTATATTTCAAAACTCCATCAAACAGTTTTTTTCTTCTCTGTGTCTTATTTTGAGCCAGAGTAATTTATTTGTTATCCTAAGACACACCTTTCTTCCCCTGTCACTGAAAGTTCCTGGTTCTTTCTAGCTTTCACAGGTGCCATTATTCTAATGCTCTTAGTACCCTATTTTCCAATAATAACTATAGATGTGAATTAATGTTAGCAAGTAAGAAGAGCAAATAAAGAATTCACTCTGCCTAATTATTGTCAAAGCATATGGATGGGTCATTGGCAACAGAGCGGCTACATTCTAGAATCTTAGTACAAGACAAAATCTTTTTTCTCTAGATTTTTAATAATTTTTTTTTTTTTTTTTTTATGGAAAGAGACAACCAGAGAACTGTCTACTTGAACTACATTGTTTTGGATTTCATGGACTTTCTTTTATGTAACTGTGCTTCAGCTTTGTCCTTGGTTCTGGACTGAGAAGCACAGAAAGAAACAGAGAAGCAAAGACAGTTATTATATCTATTAGAGAGATGATCACTGTATTACCCAGTGTTACCTTTATTAGGATCTAGGAAATAAATCCTCTTAGTTTCATCTACCCTTCAAACCTTATTACTGACTTTGTATAAGCAATTTCCTGGCGCTTAAAAAATGAGAGTCAACTTTTTGGCCAGTTTTAACAGAAAATAGAGAATGCTATGTATTCATCTCACTCAGTCTTACTGTATTTTTTTTCTTTTTTTTTCTTCTGTTTCCATGACATTTTTAATTATTTCTATTATTCTCTGGTTTTGTTCCTATTTTTATATGCCACCTCACATCTCAAATGGATTATACTGTAAGTAAATAAGCCAACTCAAACTTGCCATTTCTATAATTAGAATTCTATTTATATGCCTGTTTCCAGGGCTAATCATTGGGTATAAGGAAGTCTTTTTTCTTCAAATTTTTAGTAAATATCAGTAGATAATTGCATTAGATATTCATATCAGTTAATCAGACATGGGAAATATTTTTCAGATGCTAGATTCAAGTAAAGACCTTATTACTCAAGCGCCAGCACTGAGAATAAGAGAGGAAAAGCAAAAGCATAACCAGCTAATTAGTGCTCAGTGCTCAGTGAGAAGACTCCTAAAGGCTGCTTTCATTCATTTTAAATAGCAAATGTGTGGTGAAGGCAAGTTTTCCTCAGAGAAAAGCTAAATTAGAAATTTCTAAAAGCAGTTATATTAATTTAGGCAGTGTATATTTAATATAAGAAATAAGTTTAATTTGCATTAGATTTATTAAAAGATACAATTCACTCTAGGACCGTTTTATATAAAAGTTAGTTGAGTTAGATAGAAGCATTTGGGTTATTAAACAATAAAACATATGATTTATAGATATAAATGACATAAAAGCTAGCTGGTGACTTTGAAATGCCACTTAATTTTGTTTGAATTCTTTTACTTAATGCCAAGACACTACAAACATATAAAGTAAGAAATTACATAAAAGCTTTCACCAAAATCAGTAAAAAATATGAAATAAATATGTGTATACTGAGTAGCTAAATCCATTTTGCCATATTGAATTCTACGAAAGAAACAAAGAAGTCCAAAACTGACCTTTACACAATAAATTTTTCTGTCTCACCGAGAAGATGCAGTCTCCAGAAATACGTAAGAATTCATGGCACAGGGTGGGAGTTCAGATAAATGTTAGGTCTTTAACTTTTCTGTTATATTCATGAGGAATAAATTGTTGTCACCTGTAAGTAGTATTTGAGCTGGAGGCTTAACTGATAAGTTACATTAAATGATTCAAGGGGCAGGGTCCCAGAGAGCAGCTTTTAGATAAGGCACGGTCGTGAGCTGAGCAGAAATAGGAACACTGTGGGAGAAAACCATCAGCTCACTTGCCTAGCTGGCGAAAATGGTTTGGATTGGGCAGTAATAGCATTAAGTTTGAAAGATATGTTTGCTTTGCCAAGCTAAGGTTTTAGAGACTTGGGGATGGTTTCATAAAAATAGAGATGCTAAGTAAAGGAATTTGTTTTGGGGAAAAATTGTTTGTTCTTTTGAATTTTAATGGCTTGGTAATTTTTGTCAGATTTTAACACTATTAATTTCCCTCTCTATATAATTTTAGATGTATCCTGAAAGTTGTGATAAGTAATATTTTAATGGTCATTCAGTTCAAAAGTGTTCCTAATTTCTACTATTATTTATATTTTGAACCATGGGTTATCAAAGTTTATGGCTTAATGTCCACATATACGGAGATTTTGTTGTTATGTTTATGATTCTGATTTATTGTTCCATTTTGCTCTGATCATTGACAATACTCATCCTTATAAATTGTTCTTTTTTGTAAAAAGTGTACCTTTTCTATTATGAATGCAGCCACAGTAGCTTTCTTTTATTAGGGTTCTTCTGAATAGATTCTGTTGAATATGTGGCACATCTGTTTCCATCTTTTTATTCCAAGCCCTCTGAATCCTTAGATGTGCATCTCTTTGGAGAAGCAGCATGGCTTTTCTGTTGGTTTGTTTGTTGGTTTGAACCCTCACCTGAGGATATTTTTTCCATTGCTTCTCAGAGAGAGTAGAAAGGAGAGAGAGAGACATCGATGTGAGAGAAACACATCGACTGGGTGCCTCCCGCACAAGCCCCACCGGAGAGAGGGATCGAGCCCACAGCCGAGGTGTGTGCCCTTGGCTGGAATCGAACCCAGGACCCTCCAGCTCGTAGCCAGAACTCTAGCCACTGCGACAAACCAGCTAGGGCAAGAAGCAATGCGATTTTTACCTAAAATTATTATCTTTACGCTTGGACTGTTCTATTTATACTTAATATCATTGCAATATACTTGTGTTTATTTCTACATCATCTTATTTACCATTCTATTTATACTTCTTATTTCTTGTTGTTTCTTTAAAAATCTCCCTTTATGCTTCTTTGGAGAATATTTTTTTTATTTTTTATTATACCATTCCACGCGCCCCCTTTATTCGTTTGTTGGTTACACTTCCTTTTACTTGTTAACCCAGCTGATACAAAATGATTCCTGAATGATTGAAGTCTAATGTAGAGACATTTTATATTTCCCTGGACCATAAAGTGGCCTTATAATATTTTCTCTCCATTTATTTCTCTTTACTTGCACAATCTTTCTGTTGAGCCTCTTAACTGTGCGTGTTGTGTCTGGCTGTGTTGGTGGGTGTGTGTCCAGGTGTCCATATAGTGACACTCTTTACACACTCGGTGCTCCTCAGATTTAGCCGCGTGGCTACCTGCTTCTCTCCTGGGCCTTTCTGCTGGGGCCTCTGGTCTCCCCTATGGGGCTATTTCTCTTCCACGCAAAGAAAACCTTTCGCATTCTCTTCAAGGGCGTCTGCTGGGGCTGTGCTGTCGGTCCTCGCTTACCTGGAAGGGTTTTTATTCCGTTTGATTTGAAGGTAGTTTGTGCCTCAGGCTTCGTCGGTGCGGCCGCGACAGGAAGCTGAGTGCCAGCCAGTCCTCTGTTTAATCTCTTCCTAGCCAGGGCTTCCCTCCCCGCTTCATGACTTGGGTCGTAAAGTTGGTTTTCTTCAGTTTAACATTAGTTGATACATTTTTAATATCAACTTGCATAATAACACACCTCTGCTGGCCTTCAGGAGTAGCGGTGTCCTCCCTGGCCCCGCCGCCTCCCCAGGCCCGCGTGTCCGAAGGGCCAAGCGGCAGCGCCTGTGGCGCCTGAGCTGCCCGTCGGCCCGCGCCTGCAACGCGGCTCTGCCTTCTGAGTCACATTTCAATTTTCCCGAAGTCCGCGCCCAAACGCCTTCCCTTTCATGCTTTATTTCTCTGGGGAAAGTAACAGCCATATTTATTTCAGATTTTAAAAGCTGTCAAGTTAAGGGAGTTGCTAATGGTTCTGTAGAATATGCTAAGCAGCTAAGCACCACGTATCTGAACAAGACAGAGCGAAACAATTTCCAAAGATGGAGCACATTTAAAAAAAAGAAAGGGCACAGTTGGCCTATAGCTTTAATTCAGTAGAGCGAATGTTCTGAATTTATTAAAACTGTACTTCTTGTCTGAAATCGTCTGAATACTTTCTAATCAGTCATCTTTACAGGTGTGTTTAATTTTACAGTAAACATGAGAATGATGAACTCAAGATTTCCTTTTCTTTTTTTTGGCGCCATCATGGTAACATTACAGTAATAAAACTACAGAGGTTAGTTACTTATCCCTAAACATCCTTAGTTTTTTCTTAATAACTTACTAATTCCTGAATTCCATTGAACCACCCTATTACTGCCCTGTGACACCTCCTGGGTGACAAGTTTTGTGGCATGAAACAGCCAGAAGCTTTCTTACACAGCGATGAAAACCCTGTCAGCCTCGACGCGGCCTCACTGCTCG